CACACACACACACCCTCAAAGCCCAGGGAGGTCTCAGACCTCGTCCCAAGCCCTTAGGCTGACACCTTGGCTTTCAGATCACCCCAGCCACTGCTCTGTTGCATAGAGTAGCAGCAAATGCTGTAGGTAGGGGTGGAGGGACAAGACGCGTGGACGGGGACAGTGAGCTCTCCGAGGTCTGTTCTAGGGGAAAGAGGCACAGAACCGAGCTCGGAGCCGGGGCCTAATCCCACCAGGCGTGAAGCTCCACCCCAGCCACGCAACTCCGGCGCAAGGACCCATCCCCCAGGCACCGTTAATGGGATAGCGCAGGGTACTCTTGTCCTTCAATTCCTGGCCCTCGGCCACCTGTGGGCACAAAGGGTCTCTGGTAAGAGTTGAGAGCGCCTTTCTTCTCGCCGAGCCCCTCCCTCCGCACGCCTCCCAGCAGGCCGAGTCCACACCTTGCGTGCCGGCAGTAGGTAAAGCGCCGCTTGCAGGCCGAGCCAGGTGAGCCACAGCAGCAGCGCCCGCGGGCTCCACAGAGCCTCGAGTCCTGGCAGGTAGGGAGGTGGGCCCAGGAGGCGCGCCGGGCCCGAGCGGGCCACCAGGAGCAGGTGGACCATGGTAGCAGGGAGTAGCAGCATCAGCGCCGCAGCGCCTGGGAAAGGGGGACGATCGCGTCGGGTATCCGTTCTCCAACTCTCCCCGCGCCCCCGACCCTCCGCAGGCGCCCGGTTGTCTCCAGGGCCCCCTCAGCATTCCCATTGCCCTCTTCCATATCCCGGTCTCAGCCTCCTTCAATAACTTCCATCTTGGTCCCAGCCTCCAGGTCCCCTCGTAGACCCTCCTCCTGATCCCCTCCTGATCCTGTTCGCCACTCCACAAACCCCCGCCCGCTCTGCAGCCCCCAGAGCTGGTCTTTCCTCAGCTCCCTCTCCAGACACTCCCCAGAGCCCTCTGCCTCCGGATGCCCCTCAAAGCCTTCCATCTTTCGATCGTGTTCTATCCCTGCTCGTAGCCCACCCCTCGTTTCCCTCTCAAAAAGCCTCTGGGCCCAGGCCCCCCTTCTCTGCGCCATTACCCAGGGGTCCCCCGAATTCCAGCGGGGCCCGGGAGCCCTGAGGGGCCATGGTCTCCGCTTCGCCGGGAGGTTGGGGCTCACGAAAGTCGGTCAAGGAAACAAAGCCCACCCCATCCCCCAGGAGACGCGTTTAGTGACGGGAGAGATCCGTCCTCGCTACGCCTGCACCTGTCAGGGATCTGAGCTCGGACAGCAAAAGCGCTTGTCCACTGGTCTTTAAATGGGCCCGCCCCCGGTCCATCCTGGGCCCAGCAGACCAGCCAATCGACTCTTGGGGGCGAGTCTGACGCCAGTGCCTCGGAGTCCGTCTCCTAAGCCTCAGCCTCACAACTCCACCCCCAGCAAGTCCCGCCCCAGCACGCGAGAGGGAGGAGACAGTACGTCTTTATTAGGCGGGTCTTGAGGCCGGAGGGGAAGGGCCCAGCAGGCGGGAGACCAGGGGACATGCGGGTCAGGGCGACCTGGCAAGTAGCCGGGCCTAGCCGCGCTCGCAGATGACCTCGACGACACTGGGTTCCATGGGCACTGGGTCTGGACAGCGTAGGGCAGCTGAAGCCACCACTTCATCCAACAGCAGGTGCACAAGCTCCTCGTCCGCCACAAAGCGCCACAGGTAGAGTTGCAGGAAGTGGCAGTCCACCTGCACCTGCTGCAGCCCGAAACGCCCAAAGGTGCGCAGACGCACACACTCCAGTAGCGTCTTCAGGCTGATCTTGATGATGCCGGTCAGCACCGACACCTGTAGGAAGGGACAGAGACGCAGGGATGCAGCACCACAATAGCTGATGTTACAGAGGGGGACCCACGTTCTGGGCAGCGGCCAGGGAGGCAATAAAATGCCATAGCTGTGATGGGGTGGGAAGCCCTAGGTAAGAGGGAGGGATGCAATGTTAGCACCACCCAGCAGAGGCAGACACTGAGATCACCACCGACATGGGGAGGGGGAGGCCTACTGAGTTAGAACACCAGGTCCCTGAGCTTGGGCTGTGCTGGGAGCAGAGACCATGGTGCGAACAGGAATCCCTGGAGAGAACCCAGGACTACTATGGGGACAAGAGCAAGGGCCAAAGAGGCATACTAGATTGGCACCTAGACTCAGGCTGGAGCACACGAAGGTCAGGGCAGAGGGCCATGGATGGTGGCTGTGGGGCTCTGGACCACCAGTCACTCCAAGAAACAGCCCTGAGACAGACTAGGGGGACAGAGTCCTAAGGCTCTCTGGACCAGTATGGAGGCTGCTTCAGCCAAACTTCTCAAGGGACCCTAGAAGGCAGGGCCACTGGGGACGGGACCTTGTTGAACTCCACAGGGCTGAACACGTCAATACGTTCAGAGAACAGCTTCTGGATGTTGCTCAAGAGGTTGGTGTCCATTGGGGCACTGCATGGGGAGAAACGAGCATTCAGAGCCTGCCCTGTATCCATGGGGAGAAACGAGCACTCAGAGCCTTTCCCTGCATCCCATTCGCCTTTGTCCATTCCCCTAGGGGCTACCCTGACCAACAGACCTGGGTGTGTAGCTGGGTGCATAGCGGCCTTGCTGCCGAGAGCTGCTGTACACCGAGAAGGTCCTCTTGCTGGAGTCGCTGCTCTGGGCCTTGCGAACGCCCTCCTCGTACAGGAGCCCCACCTGGTGGTGGAAGGAGGCACTGCAAAGAGGCCAGAGCAAGGGGAACCTCCGGCCCACCAGGTGCCCTAGGCAAGGGCCAAGGATGCCCTAAGTTACACACTCATTTGCTATAAGAATCACACTTGTTACAAGAATCACAGGGTAGGTGGGGCCTGGTACCTAGATGGTGCCCTGTCACTACAGAACTGGTGGAGTGGGGCTAACATGGGACGTAAGAGTTGGTACTGGGGCCTTGATTTTCTGGGTTACTCTGGGCCTCAGCCTCCTCCTAGGTGAAATGGGAGCGGTGATGCCACAATCCAAGGCTGAAGAGGAACAAGTCCATGACTGCACGCACTGCCTGGTCCCCACTGTCTTGATCCTCAGAAGGTTGTTCCCCAGCACCCCCAGCCTGCAGCAGGGTTCCCCTGGCCAACCTGGGGCAGCACCTGCACGTCAATAGCTGTTGTGTCCTCCACTACCCGCTTCATGACAGCACGCACGTTCCGGGGCTCCAGGGTACTGAGCCAGTCCCGTGTCTCCACACTCTTGCGCAGCATCTGCGATATGACCAGGCCCTGCACCTTCACATAGTGGGTCAGCAGCCGCCGTGCTGTCTCCCTGGCCTCCGCACACAATGTGCTCACGGGTGTCACTGGAGACTGGTCCTGAGCCAGGGATGCAGAGGACACAGAGGCAGTGGGTACTGGGGGAGGCTCAGAGACCACTGCCAACCATGAGTTCGGTGCAGGCTGGGCAAGGGGCAGGTTGGGCTGGGCACAGGCAGCTGGCCTGAGTCTGACCATGAGGGCACTGTCCAGCCTCCCAAGTTCCTAGCACCACCGTGCCCTGCCCTGCTATGAGCTGGCAGTTACCTGCACCAGAAACTGTTCATCAGTGAGGGTGAGGATGTAAGAGATGGTGGCCGTCTCATAGTCCAGGCAGAGGCGGGAGAGGAGCAGGAGCAGGGCAGGTGGCGTGGCACCCCCTTTCTCCCCAGGGCTGTCACAGAAGCTCTGAGCTGTCTGGCACATGGAGCGGATGAAACCCACGATGAGGCCCTCACGGACGCCCTGGCTGCAGAACTCACCCTGTGAGAAGATGGGGCCTGGATGTACAGCAGGTCCCCTTTTCCAGGCAGGGGCTGCTAGTGACCCTCTGCTGGGACCCTACATGCCCTGTTCCCTCTCAATGGGATGGCTTCTTCCTACATTCCAATACTGCAGAGCAGCTCTACTGCTTAGGGAAGGGCGTACAGGAGACTGAGCCAGCACTGGCGACTCTGCTTGCAGATGCCCTCAGAGCTTTCCCCACCTCTCCAGGCTGCACCAGCCTTTCTCATGACAGCCTGAAACCATATCCAGAGTGTGTGGGGACAAGAACTGCATGCCTGGTAACTGCCAACCTGCAGCGTGAATAAAAGAATACCCCAAAAAAGAAAAAAGAAAAAAAGCCCAGGGCCAGGCCATACCCGGAAGTAGGGCTTGTTGGAGAAAGACACCTCCTTGGCAGTGAAGAGATGCACAGCAGCCAGCGAGGCTTTGATGTGGCTCAGGATGGAGCTGGCCACATTGGCCAGCAACTCGGCCAGGCCAGGGCCTTCCTTCCCCGCCAGGCGAGGTGCCGCCAGCGCTTGCCGCACGTCGGTTAGGCAGCCCAGGAAGGCCGCCCGCAGGCCCTGCAGGTGGTGGCCCAGGCGCTCGCGGGCCACTCGCTCCACGATCTCCGTGGCAGCCTCGGCCAGCCCCGCAGCAGCCAGCAGGGCCCCGGGTGCCCGCAGGCGTCGGTGGAAGCGGTCCAGCGCCCGCACCAGCAGCGAGTTGTCACCGCCACCCTGCTCCTGCGCCAGCCGCCTCTCCACCAGCGCAAAGTAGCGGCCGCCCAGCTCCCGGGCGAAGGCTGCCAGCTTCTCAGCACCCGCTGGGCCCTGGGCCGCAAACAGCTCCTGGTAGGCCGCCGCCACTTGGCAGAGGCCACCGACAAAGCCACTGCCACCACGGTCGGTGAATTCTAACACATCTGGGGCTGGGGGGGAAGGCCCCAGCTCGGCCTCCAGGCTTCTCAGCTCCTCCTCCAGCCGCCCGCGGGCGTGCGCCAGGAACTCCTCGCACAGTTCCTCAGCTGGTTCACCGAGAGCCAGCAGCAGCTCCACACACTCCGCCTGCTCGGGGGCGCCCGAGCCGCCCTCCCTGTGGGGGGGAAGATGGCAGGGAAGGGCAAGAAAATGGAATTCGGGCTGGGGATGAGGGAAACTGGAAAGCTCTGGGCAGGCCCAGGAGCCCAGCGGCGTGCGATGAGGGTCCGGGGCCACACCTGAAGCGCTGCCGTAGCTGCTGGGCCAGGCGAGCCGTGATGACCTGGCAGTCGTCCTGGATGGCGCGGAACGAAGGCAGGTGCTGGTACTGCTGCAGCACCGCCTGCGCGCGGCCCTGGTAGCGCACCGCCTGCCCGTAGGCGCCCAGCTCCACGCACTTGGTGAGGCGCGAGGGGAGCTCGAAGAGGAACTGCAGCTTCCGCAGCAGCGCGTGGACCCCTGGGGGATGAGGGCCGGTGGTTTTAGCCCCAAAGCCGCAAGGGCCGCCCACTTTAGCACCCGCTCTGGGGCGGGGCCCACCTGCCAGCTTGGTGATGCGCTCGTGGCGGTCCTGCAGCGTGGCGCTGATACGCGCACTGAAGTCCGTGATCACTGCCATGTTGGTGGCCAGCCGGTCCATCTCGTCCTCCATCTTCCGGAAATCGTTCTTCATCTTCCGGATGGTGTCTGGGAGGGCAAGGGCAAAGGAGAGGGAAAAGGAGACGATGAGGGGTGTAGAGGCAGCAGCACCCGGCTTGAGACACGGTCCAGATGCTCTCACACACACCCCCTTCCCAAATGCGCTTAGCTGCTACTCAAGGGTGGCACTGATGGTTCCGTGCATAAGGGCTGCAGTGGTGCTCGGTCACAGTATGTCAGGGAGCTGGGTCATGTCAGTGCAGCAGGCATTTTCTGAGCACCCATGCTGTGCCTCTAGCCCTGATGCAATGGGAAGATGGCCCATGGAGCCGCAGTCCCTGCCCAGAGAGTATGCCCAGATCCAAAAAAGGGCACAGGGCACTTGGCAAAGACCTGTCTGCGTGTCCCCAGGGGCAGCCTCCATGCTGTGTATTGCCTGGCACGGGGGAGACAATAAATACTTGTTCTTCTTTATCTCCTTTCCAGACCTCCCAAGCCCTTTCACTCCGCCTTCTAGAACATGGCCAATCTTCTCTGAAGGGTCTTTTCCCTTTTTTTCCGACAGAGAACCAGGAGGCAGTTCTCCCTGGTGTCTCTGGGCCCCGCCCCAAAACACTTTTAGATAGGTTCTCCTCTTCCCTTCAAGATCCCAGCTTCTTTGAAGACCATGCCATCGAACTACACCCCTCCCGTTGCCGTCCCCGCTGTCCTCCTTGCCAGGTCTCTCAGCTCCTGCTCACTGTTTCTCCGGGATGAAGGAGAAACATTCCATCACAGGAGACTTAAATTCACCTCTATCAATCCATGACTGATTCGAGTGGTCAAAAACTATGTGAAACTATAGAAGACCTAAATAACCAATATGGTCCACCTACCTGATTTATACTGAATTCTTTTCAA